TATCACTTAGGGGTATAAAAAATAGATAACAACCTAGGAATAGGTTGTGACCAAACCAAACCAAACCAGACTTACTGAATATACATATAAAATTTTATCAAAATCGGTCTAGCCGTTACGGAGATGGTAACAAAAAATTAAAAAAAAACAACCCCTATTAAAATATAGGGGATGATGGTAGAACGGTGAAAATTTAGGGTGGTTTGTATTTTTTAATGCCAAATAAAAAAAAATTAAAATATTTTTTTTTTCAAAAAATAAAAAATGGGGGTGGGCTACCCTTACCACTTAAGGGTATAAAAAATAGATAACAAACTATTTTCAGACCTACTCAATATACATAATAAAATGTCATCAAAATCGGCCAAGCCGTTTCGGAGATGGTATCAAAAAAACAACCCCTATTAGAAAATAAGGGATGATGGTAGAACGGTGAAAATTTAGAGTTGTTTGTATTTTTAAGGCCAAATAAAAAAAAATAATTTTTTTTCCAAAAATAAAAAAATGAGGGTGGGCTACCCTCTCGACACCCTTATCACTTAAGGGTATAAGAATAGATAACAACCTATTCTTAGACGTACTGAATATACAAATAAAATTTTATCAAAATCGGTTAAGCCGTTTCGGAGATGGTAACAAAAAATTTTAAAAAACAACCCCTGTTAAAAAATAGGGGATGATGGTAGAACGGTGAAAATTTAGGGTTATTTGTATTTTTTAATGACAAATAAAAAAAATTAAAATATTTTTTTTTTCAAAATATAAAAAAAAATGGGGGTGGGCTACCCTTATCACTTAAGGGTATAAAAACAGATAACAACGTATTCTCAGACCTACTGAATATACATATAAAATTTCATCAAAATCGATCAAGCCGTTTCGGAGATGGTAACAAAAAACTAAAAAAAAACATCCCCTATTAAAAAATAGGGGATGATGGTAGAACGGTTGAAAACGGGTTGTTTGTATTTTTTAATGCCAAATAAAAAAAATAAAAATATTTTTTTTTAAATAAAAAAAATGGGGGTGGGCTACCCTTATCACTTAAGGGTATAAAAAATATATAACAACCTGTTTTCAGACCTACTCAATATACTTATAAAATTTCATCAAAATCGGCTAAGCCGTTTCGGAGATGGCAACAAAAAAAAATAAAAAACAACCCCTATTAAAAATAGGGGATGATAGCAGAACGGTGAAAATTTAGGGTTGTTTGTATTTCTTAATGCCAAATAAAAAAATAAAAAACATTTTTTTCTTTTCAAAAACTAAAAAAAAATGAGGGTGGGTTACCCTCTCGGCTACCCTTATCAGTTAAGGGTATAAAAATAGATAACAACTTATTCTTAGACGTACTGAATATACATATAAAATTTTATCAAAATCGGTTAAGCCGTTTCGGAGATGGTAACAAAAAATTAAAAAAACAACCCCTATTAAAAAATAGGGGATGAAAGTAGAACGGTGAAAATTTAGTGTTGTTTGTATTTTTTAATGCCAAATAAAAAAAAATTAAAATATTGTTTTTTCACAAAATAAAAAAATGGGGGTGGACTACCCTTATCATTTAAGGGTATAAAAAATATATAACTACCTATTCTCAGACCTACTGAATATACATATAAAATTTCATCAAAATCGGTTAAGCCGTTTCGGAGGAGTACGGTAACCAAAACTGTAACACGGGAATTATATAGATAATATTATATGTAAACTGCGGAGTGCGGAGAACGGAAAGACTGATTATAGCAATAGATAAAATTTAAAACTATAATTTAAAACTATTCAAGAAAGTACACACAAAACAAGGCAACGCCGCGCGTCTATTCGTTCAATTCCGAGCAAAATAGCGAGGCTCCACGAAGTTGGGGCCTCGCTCGCCAAAGCGAGGCCCCATCGACAGGTCAGATTTTGATGCGAGACGAGACTTCTAGGGTATTAAGATATTCTTTGGTAAAATGTAAATAACATTAGACCAATTAAAACAAAGAAATATGAATTTCTTAGTATTTTTAGTAACACCTTTATTCTTAAAACTTAATTTTGTATTATGCAAATATACCAATTTTATTGTTATTTTATTCATATTGTATTCAGCCATCACATAAATATTTGATATTAATTTGGTATTATAAATAATCAACACTATTCATTAAAAATTACTGAACAAATATATTTTATGCTTGACATACATTATATATTATCAAACAAAAACACATTCTTCTTTTAAACTGTATCAGTCTTGTCTTTACAAAAATCTTTTTTAAAATTTGAACTCAAAATAATAATCTATTTCATGATCTTTAATACACATATTCTTTATTTTTCCCTAGATCATAATACCTACTTACGTGTTTGAATCTATCGAAGCTGAACCAACAACACTTGGAGTGGAGATTCAACAATATGAATAAAATAAACATAATTGTCCAGTTTTCATTAATACCATCATGGGAGAATATTATTTTTAAATTTATTAAAGATATTTTCAATAGGATTCTCTTGATTTATAACTCGTACCCACTTTTCTTGCTCTTCCGGACAATTTAGGCTGCCTAGTATAACTATCCTTTCCACCAGGAACACAACAAAGATGAGGCATAGCACCAAAAACACACTCCACTTAAGCTTTATTGATGAATTGTTAGAGTCTTAAAAAACACACACAAAAATCACGATAAGTAAAAAATGTATGGGCACTTTTAGGTTAAATCACTTACACAACGTGTAATTTTTCAATTTTTCTATTTTTTTATGCAAAACCGAGATTGACAATATATCTGGTAGTAGTTTATGTCACTTAAACACCAAAATAATTAGTTTTTTGCACTACAATAATAAATTATACCAAAAATCAAAGAGTTAAAACCAAAAATCAACCGACAAATTATGAAACGGAATCTAACCCAATATCTAAGTATGTACAGCTGATGAAGTAAACAAAAGTCCGCCCCCAGGCTGATCTTTTAATAGAAGGCGCTGATTTATAGTAATTTTGTTAAATTATCCCAATATATTCTCGTTGATTATTGGTTTGAAATAAATATGACAATGTTCTCCAATGAAAATGCGAGTTGCTTAACTCTAATAATTCTAATTCTGAGCTAGATGCTTTACCTAGGCCGTTATTCAGAAGCTACAAACCTCTCGATGAAAATATGCATGAAAAATTAATTGCTAGCACATCAGGTACAGTATCAAGTTTATGATAATGATTTTCTTAGCTTTAAATCAAATGTTTTTTGGTGTTTGCGCGATCGTGCGATGTGCGATCCTTACTATTTTTTTCTCTCTAGCTCGTCTCTCAAGGCCGCAGCGTGTGACAGCCTTGAATTTTTACTCCCGTCGCGCGTAAAGAAGTTACACTTCAAAAATAGAATATACTTTTTTTCTAGTTAAACTCGTATAAAAATGATGTATTTGTTTTATGAAATTCATATTGGAAATATCTTTTGAATCAGGACCTGTTACATCGTATGGCAATGTCAATCTTGAATATTTTTTAGTTCAAATATATAATAGGAGCAGTGAATGATTTTTTTTAATAGTTACGTACAACTTTATTAATATGTTTTGACGACTATTTACTATTAATACTATTAATTCGAGTAATTACATGCTTTTAAATAGTAATTATCGTTTAATTTAATTATTTTTTTTTTTGAAATCGGTTTTAAAAACTCAACGGTGTTTTCTGAGATTTTTCGATACCCAGGGGCGGAACAGGAATTTATTTTAGGGGAGGCCGAGATACATTTTAGGGGGGGCCAAATAAAAAGTAATGTAGAATATGCTTATTAGAGCGCCATTTTTAACCCAAAAGCCTAATAATTAACCCAATTTATAGATTTTAGGGGGGGCCTTCTTGGCCCCATGGGCCCCCCTCTGTATCCGCCACTGTCGATACCTGTCTTTGAATAAAAAGATTAAAGAAGGAGAATAATGCTATCCATTCATTTTTGTATTATAGTCTCAAAATCAAAAACCTTTCTACCCGAAGGTGTAAGGTATACTAAATTAAATAAATTCACTTAATTGCTACACTATACACAAATTATTGTTTCTATTTATTTTTATCTCTTGCTAAACTTTTGGCTTCTGTTATTGTTAGTCCTCTATCCTGCACTATCTTCTTTATTGTGTATATTCCATGTTTTAATTGGTCTCCCCCTTGGTCTCTTTTCCTGGTGTTTTTTAGCTGGTGCAAAAATTTCCTCTTTTGTTTTATTTTTGTGCCATAATTTTTAGAAATGATTTTTCATGTCATATACTACTGTTACTTACTTTCTTTGAGTAAGAGGTATTTCAATTTTAATTTAAACACCTTTATTATACTATTTTTTCTGTTATATTACGACTATGCAATATAAGAGAGAAAATTATACATTAAATTATAATATATTATAATAAATGTTAGAAGAAATGACTGAAATGAGCTATTATACTATTTAGAGTTTTGTTTTACTTATACTAAATTATTTATTCTTTAGACTTGGCATACTAACGATGAATCTTTGAAAAAAGCGTTAAACAACTTCTACAATTGGTAAGTTTGGTATTTTATGATATGTGCATGTATACCGTAAAGAAATAACAAGAAAATCTTACAGTTATTTACTAAAAAAGCGTCTCGTCTGCGTCTATTCAAATTTTTCCTTTGGCGCGTTTAATTGATTACAGCGCCATTCTTATTTAGTGAGAATTTTTAGAACTATCGTCTAAATGATTATTTGCGCCACCATATGGAAAGTTTTAAAAGTAAGCTAATATAGGTCTCTGCTTTTATTATGGTGGCGCCATCATGGACGGAATATTTAAACTAGTGATTTAAGTTCTTTATAGATTTCTATAAAAAAAACTAGTGCTATCTAACGTTAAATAGTTGAACTTAGGTTAAAGTTGTTTTTTTTAAAGAAATCTATATTTTTAGTTCCCAAAAAGTTCTGGGTGAGAGTCATCTATGAATAACATTTTATACTAATTTTGATTCTAACCTGTGATTCTAACCTATTTCTAACCCTAGGAAAAATATGTTTTTGTTTTTGAATGGTTTTTGTTATGGTTTTTGTATCAAAAGTAAAATAAGAAATAAGTGAGTTTATTTTTTCTTTGATAACAAATCTGCTGGTTAAATTATAGTGTACCATCTATATAACATATTTATAACTAATTTTTAATATTATTTATCTACCATTCGTATTTTTAAGTGTAATTTGTGGACAATGAGTATTTGTAGACGTAACATTTGTTATTACAGATCAGATATGTGATAAAACAGCTGAGGAAAAGAAAGGAGAATACAGTGCAAAAAATGGAAGGAAATGATATATTCTTTTGGAAAGATGTGTATTTGCGTTGAATTTCATAAGAAACCCTCACCGATTGCCCTCTGCTTTTCAATGAAAGTGTGTGCCAAAAAAGGGTAAAGCTGGAGCAACAAGATTGGAATCCTTCAGATGGTTTTTGTTTCCAATTATTGCCTTCAAATCATTCCTCCAAATAGCTCTTCAGAAAATTATACTCAAACATTCAAATTTTAAATACATGGACTCTATCATAGAGATAAATGCTGTAACTCCTGAACCTGCATTTTTCTTTGATATAAAAATAATTTAAATCTTAATGGGTGTTATACACTATAAGAAATGTATTATTGTTATGAAGAGATGCAGTGTATAAGGCAAAGGTATAAGGTAACTTTTTTTCGCATTGTTTCAGTCTGTCTTTTTAATTTGTTACAATTTTTTGTAAAGTAAATAGTGAAAAGACATATAAAGACATACATTTTTAAAAGTATTTTTCTCATGAGAATTAAATATGAAATTTTTGGCCAACGAGGTTGAACAGTGTTAGACTCGTTTAGAAAAATGTTAATTACTTAAGAACTAATTAACATATCAAAGTGCCTATTGCATCAATCGATAGGAAATTCAACCCTCTATCTTATTCTATATATAACACACATTTTAAACCCCATAGCTACTTTATTTTTTGAAGCAAAAATGAACACAGGGCAACATTTGAAAAATTTTAGCCCAAAAAATAAAGTGTTCCCTAGGGGGTTGAAATTTTGTGTACAGATAGAGGGTTGAATTCCCTATCGATTGATACTAAGAGCATTCCGACATTTTTTTTAATTAAGGAGTAATTAGCTTTTTAATTTGAAAAACGAGGTCAAAATACTAGAATCAACATTTTTTCTGTAGTGCTAAAAATTTGTTACAGATGTTGAAAAATTTTGCATGGGACAACCAAATCTTGTGCATTTTTGTCATCAAAAATTTCATTTTGAACAAAAATGATATATTTTGCAGAATCGTATTTCTTAACGTGTAGGTATTTTACATTGCTATTATATTTTTGGTTTGTCATTATACATATATTTTAGGTTCGTTTGTTCAAAATGAAATATTTTGCAGAATGGTATTTCTTAACGTGTAGGTATTTTACATTGCTATTATATTTTTGGTTTGTCATTATACATATATTTTAGGGTACTATTTAATTTTCTCTTGTTATATTTATAAGACCTCTAAGAGTTTCTATTTTTCTTTTAATTGTTATAGTATAGGAATTCTGACAGGACAATGTTTTCCTATATCATTCCAAATTTCTATTACAATAAACTACCATTTTAGATTTCAAGTTTGCACAAAAATGGCCTGTGCGAAATAAGTAACGTTTGTTGGGGCCTTAAAGAAAACTACAAGGTAAAATCTAGATTTGTCTTTTATTTTTTCAGAATCTCTTTTACTTATCGTGTGCTACAACGGGGCGATTTTTTACAAAAAAACATACAACCGAAATAACAAAAACAGAACTTGATTAAGTGTTAAAATCAGTCAGATCTTTCGACCATGTTTTTTTATCATACAAACAAATTCACTTAAATAATAAGTTTTCTTAATATTACTATTATTACTTATCTAAAAACAAGAATTACATTTTCCTTAAAAATAAGTTTATAAAACTAAGTAAGACGTCAGGCAGTTTCTCGTGTGCTTTAGTATAACAATAATTCGTTTTATTTTTCTAAGTGAAACCGCTGACAAAACAGGATAAATAAAATATACAGGCAGATGCAGTTTTTTGTGGTAGACCTTCAACAGTCGCGAGAAAAAGTGGTTTTAAGAAAATTATATGTCAGCTTTTTATTTTTATAACACCCGATATAGTCCTAGAAAATAGGCCAAGATTTGGTAAAAACTTGAATTTTTTATATAAGTTACTTTGAAAGATCCAAAAACGAATTGTGAAAGATTTTTTTAAATTCACCCCCGAGAAGGGGTGAAATAAATAAACAAATTTATATTTTCGAAATTTCGGAGAAGCGCTAAGGACTAGAAAAAAAGTTCAAATAAAAGTTGTACAGCATCCAATTTTACATCAAAATGGTCTCTATATATATTTTTTTAATAAAGTTAATTTTGATCTGAACAAAAAAAGTATAGAAATCATCTCCGTAAAATTTGACGCTCTACAACTTTTATTTGAACTTTTTTTTCTAGTTCTTACCGTTTCTCCAAAATTTCGAAAAAAGAATTTTATTTATTTATTTCACCCCTTCCCGGGGGTGAATTTAAAAAATATTTCACAGTTCGTTTTTCGATCTTTCAAAAACTACATCAAAAATTCAAGTTTTTACCAAAACTTTGTATTTGAAGGCCTATTGAACTAAATAAATATTGAAAATTTCGTTTAGGTACCTAAAAAAAATAAAGGGTATAGCCGGATTAATATAGGAAATCTGCCCCCGCGGCTTTTTTGACTCGCACTCAGCGGATCGATTTGGTATCGAATCAAAATAATTGACCTAAATTTTTAGCTCTTTAACTCAAACGATTTTCGAGATTTTCAAAAACACTGTTTTTTCAATTTTATTTTTATACTAAAATTCAAAATTAATTAACGGTGATTTTTTCTAATTCCTAGAAGTCTAAGACATGAAAAAATAATATGATCATGATTCTAAGCAAAAAGCCGATTTTTAGCGGAGGAAAGAAAATTAAAATCTTCATTTTTTTAACCTTCCTGAAATATGTCACTCACTAAAAATTGTCAGAAAATGTCTTTTAACTTCTTTACACTCAGGAATTTTTTAGAATTTTTTTAAGTGGTGGAACAATATGAAAAAAATTAACTCGAATTGATTTTTTTATAATAATCCTTATGTTTATTTCTGGCAAGGATGCATTCTTAATGAAAAAATATTTTCTACCCACTTTTAACACAACAAAAATATAAGTTAGTTAAAACAGAAGATTTTAGAAAAAAAATAAGTTTTTAATATTTTTAATATTGTTCCATTTCAAAAAATTTTAAAAAATTCCTGAGTGTAAAGGTGTATAAAAGACATTTTCTGACGATTTTTAGTGACATATTTCACAAAGGTTAAAAAAATGAAGATTTTATTTTTTTTCCTCCGCTAAAAATCGGCTTTTCGTTTAAGAATCATGATCATATTATTTTTTCACGTCTTAGACTTCTAAGAATTAGAAAAAAAATCATCATTAATTAATTTTTAATTTTACTATAAAAATAGGTGAAATTAGGTGAAATATTTTGATTCGACAACAAATCGATTCCTCGGGTGCGTGTCAAAAAAGCCGCTGGGGCAGATTTCCTATATTAATCCAACTATACCGTTTGTATGTAATTTGTAAGTAATTGATATTAATAATGCTAATAAGCTGAGGATGAGTGAATTAGCTGCAACGATGAATGATGATTTTTTGACGTAAAGAAAAAACACATTGAATCTGGAAAGGAATTGTGTCAGGACTAGGATTACAGTGGTATTACATAGTACTGATAAAGGTACTTCAGTTTTTTTATGTAGAGTCCTATTCCCAGTCTTAAAACAAGTAATTCCTGGTATATTTTGAAACCTAAGATGACTCTACATCGACATATTTTTTTTCAATATATTTTCCTGTCAACTGTTAAAGTCTACCTAAAAAAAAACGATCACCAAACTGTATATACATATAAAAACACGAGGAAACGCTAACATTTATAATAGTATTAAAGAGATTTTAAAAAATTCAGTACATAACGTCATGAAGATATGTAGAGGTAACGGATCGATATATACGAGACGAAACTAAAGTGTTGTGTATAAAAAGACCGAACAGCATTCTTGTATAATTTCGTAATTTTTTTAAGTAATGCAGGATACACGATCATATTTAGAGGGAAAATTTACACAAAGCCATGATATTTTAACAAAAAAATAATGGAAAATAATGAATAGTGATACATACATATGTTATACTGGGTGTCTCTGACAACTCTGTACAGAATTATAACGTTATGTGCTTAAATCAGGATATTTTTATTGAATTTCCAAAGTGCTTATTATACTTATCATTCTGAAACAAGTTGTTTAATTCTATATTAAGTTTTGTGTATATTAATTTGTTTTTGTTTTTTGTATTGTAATTTTTTTGACAATTATTTTCTTGTCATGTGTCATATAAAGTACTATAAAAAAAGTATTATAAAATACTTTTCGAGATATTTGCATAAAAAATAAAATATTTTTGTAGTGAAACTTCTTTACGCGCGATGGGAGTAAAAATTCAAAGCCGTGACCTTGACAGATGCGGTCTTGACAGACGAGCTAACGAGAAAAAAGTTTTAAGTATCGCACAAACACCAAAAAAAAATGATTTAAAGCTAAGAAAATCATTATAATAAACTTGATGTTGTACCTAGGTAGTAAATTTTGTGCTAGGAAGTAAATTTTCATGCATATTTTCATTGATAGGTTTGTAGCTTCTGAATAACGGTCTAGGTAAAGCACCTAGCTCATTTGCTAGCTCAGAATTAGAATTATTAGAGTTAAGCTACTCGCATTTTCATTGGAACACAGGGTCATATTTATTCCAAACCAATAATCAACGAGAATATTCGTATAATTTAACCAAATTACTGTAAATCACTATAAATACGAATTGTTGGTTAGGTTCAAAATTTTTTTCTCTTCTTAAATAAATTTAAGTGTTAACATTATTAGGTATTTGCATAAAAGTGTGTAGTTTGGGTGGTAAATTTTCTGGCTATTGAGGAAACAGAAAATGTACAGAAATAAATTGAAAATAATACCAATTTGTATTAAAACAGCATTATATGTCACTTCTTCAAATATGTCCTTCAAATCATTAAATTTAGTAGCTGTTAGTAAGAAGTTTCACTTCAAATATGTGCACATAGTGCACACACTATTTTTTTTATTTAACAGAAAATAACCTTATTTTAATAACTATTTAGCTAATTTTACGAGAACTAAAATTTTTTCATCGTCTAGTAAAGCACCTTTGGACTGTGTGTATTAAAATATCCTAATTTAAGTTCAACAAAAATTAGTGGCATTCTGTAAAGATTTTTTCAGAGACACCTTAATGATATACGGTCATTTAAGAATTCTTATCATAGGAAAACATTATCTATAAATCGAAAAAAACTGTAAAAACAGTAGTATTGTATGATATAACTGCAGTTTAATAAAGATTAAAAAATTAATATAATAAAAAAGATTCAAAAAACTAAAATAAAAAATTAATAGATATGTATAAGATTTAATTTCCTTAATGGGATAAAATGTAACTAAAACACGAATGTAATACAACGTCTTATCCACAAACACATGCAAATATTTAGTTAAAAATGTATAAATTTGATAGGAAAAATTATTGCACAAAGTATTTCTTTTAAAAGTTAACTATGTTGTTTATTATTGATACAAGCAAAAGCTTAACAGAAAACAAAATTCGGATCTTGTACCATAAGTATTTGCAAAATTTCTTGAAAAATCATTGAAAATTCGAGAAGATGATAATGGAAGTATATAAGAACCAACCCATTTACTGCCTACTATTTTTTTTGGGTCAAGTTTCGTTTAGCCGAAATCTGTTAAAAAAGAATCAAATTTTTTTCTGTCATTTAGGTACCTCAGGGAGTATATTACTGAAAAAATTTTGCCGCGGAAATGCGCTACCATTTTTTGAATGCGGTTTAAAAGTAACGAAATGACGTACATGAAAAATTAATGTTATTTCATATTTTAGACGCCTTTGTAACTACTAATACAAAAATGAAATTCCGCGGAAATGCGCTGTTTTTTGAATACGGTTTAGAAGTAACGAAATGAGATATATAAAAATATAATATTATTTTATATTGCAGACTTATTTTTAAGCACGAAAAAACGAAAATCCGCGGAAATGCGTTATTTCACCACTATGCAGTGATCTGCTTCCCGACCTTTGACATAGATCAATGAATAATATCTATTCTTATCAACTTAATATGGCTATGGTCAATAAATGCGAAAATTTAAAAAAATGTCAATAAAGCATAAAAACGACAACTAAACCAAACCAAACCTTAAAAAAACAACTAAACCAAACGAAACCAACTAAACCCATTACAACCAAACCTACTACAGCTTGACCAAACCAAACCTAAAGTAAGTAAAAAAGTTGAGAATACTATGGAAAACTTCGAAATATTGAAGATTTTCCATTACACCGCCCTTATGATGAATTTCCGCGGAAAAGGTTATATAGAAAATTTATAGCAAATTATTAATCAAACGAAAATATGTAGTTTTTATCTTCCTATCACATTTCGGCACTTCTAAACCCGGAAAAATCAATGAAAATTGTTGTGATAAAAATATATTTTCGAATAAAAATTAGTTCACATCGTTATATTAAATGTTTTTACGTCATTCTATAATGAAAAAACTATTAAAAACACCGTAAAGTTTTAAAGTTTAGTTAATAATAGAAAAATTAAAAATTCGAGTTTTCTCAAAAACAAAGAATTTCCGCGGCAAAAATCAAACTATGTAGTGCTAGTTTTCTTGTATAGAATCATCCTATAAACCGATGTTCTATGTAACTGATTTCGGCTAAACGAAACTTGAGCCTTTTTTTTTAATTTCAGCATACCACTAGTGGAATAAAGGTATGTTATCCCCATTAGTGAATAAAATATCCCTTTTAAACGTTTCATATGAGTGGATAAAAATCATTATTCTATGATTATTGATAAAATAATAGTTATTTTTTTATACAAGACGATAAAATGGTATTTTATCGTCGACCGAAAAGATTAATTCGCGAAGTGAATTAATTTCGGGAGACGACAATGCAATTTTATCGTCGTGTATAAAACAATATTTTTTTCCATAGCGAGTTACATTCTAAAAAATATTCAGAAATTATTATTTCAAGGAATTTATTATGAATAGAAAAAATATTGTGCTGGTTTGGCGGTGGTTTCTATGTAATTTGACAAATAAATAAAGCTGTCTCTTTAGTTGTCAGTTTTGGGTCAATATTTTTTAATTCTCTTTCGTGTCGATTGCTGATTGAATTGGAGCCAGAAATGGCTCAAAACGAAATAAGTAAATTACCAAAAGATATTCAGGCTGAGGCGACAACCGCCATATCCAAACTACTTCCATTTAAATCCCGAATAACTTATGAAAAGGAATACAAACATTTTCAAAAATGGAAGCAATTAAAAAACGTGCGAGTAGAAATAAAGTGTTTAACCTATCCTCGCTGTTAAAGTATTATTTAATCTACCCTTGGCGGTTAAAGTACTATTTTATCTACTATTTTTGATAGATATAAGGCAATTTTAACAATTGCTATGGAAAAAATTAATTTAGTTTTTATTTTAAAAAAGTTAATTAGAAAAAAGTCAAATAAATATTAGAACATATTTATTTTCTTTTTAGGAAAATATACTGTAGTGTCTCTAATAAAATGTGAATAAATTACAAAAAACACCAATAATAATATAAAAAATTAAAAAGATAAAATACTAAAAAAATATAGAGCACTAACAAAATCTAAATAGAAAAAACTGTATATTTTATAAGATTAATCCTTGAATCTTTAATGTAATAAAAATTCTAAACGAATTTTTTTTATATTTAATTATTGTTTTTATACGCTTCTCAGAGATATCAAAACGAAGAATTCTTAAATGACTTTTTTTTCTATATAATAGACAACCAAATGTCCCTTTACGTGGAAATCTAAGCAACATATCGAGACAGGAAAATTGCACGATCGATACAAAATACCTAAAAAAAGTATTCGCTAAAAATGTTGTGCACATTCTGGGTCGTTTTCATTTTTTTTAACTATACATCTTTTAAATTTTCTTACAATATATATAATTTTTGTGTGTTTTTTTTTCATTCCTCCTTAATATTTTACGCACGGTAGGCACATATAGTTCGCGCGTTACGCACTTGTTCGCAACGTGTGCAACAGAAATTCACATATTGTGTGGAACAGAAAATTTGCCGCGGTGGATTTGACGTGGTAGGTTATTGTCATCTTCTGTCCGATGGGATTGGTTGGACGGGCGCGCGCCCGGTGATTAGTTTGTGTAGTGGTCGAACGAACCCAAGTATTCTAGAGCTGCTCTGTAGCAAAACTGGTACTGATCCTGTAAGAACAGATAGTTTAATTATATAATATAAAATAGTATACAGTGTGTACTACAAGTGTGTCAATCTTTGCATTAAATTCACCAGACTGAAGAAAACAACCATTCACACACACAATTAATTATACAGGGTGGTCCGAATAGTATTCTGGAAACTTCTGCAGCCTATTCTGCAGATAAAAATAAGTAAAAAAGTTCGTATACGCTTAGTTTCGAAGATATAGGGTGTAGAAGTTTAATTTTTATTTCGATTGATTGTTTGAGGTTTTTAACACGAGGAATTTGATTTTGATGTTAATATGACTCCCATTTGTAGGGAGCGCCACCTACATGTGTTTTAACTGTTTTGAAGTGTAATAACTTTTCGTCCGTACCTGTATAAAACTACTGCGTGAAAAAATATACATTCCCGTGACTTTTTATGTCAAAAATGTTCCTTGGTAAAAATCGCTACGACCAACCGTGCTCAAGACATTTATATAGAAATAATCAATACATGTAATTATTGACAAAAAATATACACGTGGAGCAGCAATATGATCTGTCATTTTTGAAATAAACCAATAACACTGGTTAAAAATAACAAGAGACGACGCATAACGGATTTATATTTAAACCCATCCATAGTTACATAGGTACTTAAAAAATATTAGAACCATTTTTTAGTAAAATAAATAGATTGGTATGGGACAAGAACAGTTAACCTAATAGGACTGCCCATTCAGCCAAAAGTGTCCGCCAGGTGCATGCGAAAACTACTCGCTTTGTGACGTCATTGTAGCCCTTGTCATGGTTATTAGTCATCCGGCAACCAATAATACACACACGTGCATTATTGGTTACCGAATGCAAAACGTTCATTATTTAGTTTATTTATTTAAACACCTTATATGTATGCAGTATAGAAAATTAACTGTATAAATCCTATTAAATACTCGGATAATGCATTTTTAAGAACAGCAGTTCCCAGCATCACCTTTTGCAAAAAATAATTAATAAACAAAATCGTGGGCACTTAGTATGCACTTTGTCACAATCCATAACACAAAATGAACGTATTTATACACTCTATAGCTCTAAAAACTTTAAAGACACCTTTTTCACATTTAAAATTGACAAAATAATTAACTCAAAATTTCTCAGCTGTTATTTTTATAAGTTTACCATAGGCAACTAATAATACACACTATCATGACAAGGCCACGATGGCTTTGACAAGGGCTACAATGATGTCACAACTGTCAGCTGAAGCGCGGGAAGAGGCGAACGTACGTCTTATGAGGATGAGCAATCCTATTAGTTTACCGTTCTTGGGTATGGGACGTCATCTGCTGTTCTTCTGTCATCGTCTGTCGAAATCTTACCTGAGAAAAAAAAACAGTGACTGAAATAATAAATTTGGGAAATTTTTTTTTTTAAATAGTCATAATTTTTTCTGCGAAAAAATGATAAAAAAGTGTCTGTTGAACTTTTGACACAAAAACATTTCAAATTTATAATTTCAGTCTAATAACTATTTAGTGGAACCATTACTCGTAACGATTTTTACTAAAGGTACGCATCCACTAATCGGCGTCGGACGGACGGTACGTATTGGATGAATCGGATTATTTAATTAACTACATTATTTGAATATGACTGCGTTCACCTATCGGCATCGAACCGACCGCACTTCGGCATTTCCGGACGGGATTCGAAAGACGAAATCAAAATCCGTTCCGTCCGGACACTGCCGATGCTGATAATACGAAAACCGACAAGTCCACGCAGGCATCGGCGCGATATTTCCCTTTCCAAAGTTTATTAAGAAGACAGCAAGGATTTGTATAGTTAGTTTGTGACTTTCTTCAACATTTTCTGAATGTAATTATGGATGTAGCAAGACTTATCACGATTGTGCAGGAGTATGAAGAAATTTACAATTTGCAACATCCAGAATATTCTAACATTCTTCGCACAGATAATATTTGGGATGAAATGGGAAAGAGAATGAATGAATCTGGTAAGTAAATATGTTTATTTACAATGTAGGAAAGCAATCGCCATGCCGTAATGTTTGTGTACCGGCATTGTTTATGTGATATTCCCCGAATCTTGGTCTTTTTATATTAATATTATGCACCCAACACGTCTTTCATTTTTTTACCTCTATACAAAAGTGACTTGTTTGCCCGCTAGAGGGCGTAGAGGGTAATCACATTTTTTCAGTTAATTTAAGAAACATTATTCCGATTTGAATGAGATTTTCGGTGTATATGTTTTGCTAAGTGCTTTAACATTTGACTTTCACAAAAATCAAGAAAAAATACGGGAAGGGTGAAAAGTACCCCCATCCCTACATAAATTTTGATGTAAATATTTTCCAACTCCACCGACAACAGATTTTCTTTCCGTAAAATGGCCCCTCTATTTTTTTACATTTTTTGTCTCTTGTAAAAAAAACCGCCACGTTGCACATTGTTTTTGAGAAAAACATTTTTGGAGAATTTATTTTTCCAAATCAGACGCGGTGGCGTATTTTTACAAGAGACAAAAAATGTAGTAAATACTAGAAGGACCATTTTATGAGAAAAAAAATCGGTCGCCGGTTTGAGCAAATTACAATCAATGCCGTCAGAAAGTGAGAAATAAATAAAAAATAACCTCAACATACCTTTGACCTAAGATATTCGGACTTATTTCTAACTTAGATCCTGAAATATTTTTAATAAACAGCACAATCTACGTACCTCTGTCTGTACCATAGCTGGCCGTTGTGTCCGAAGTATCCTAGCTGTCTGGAACACGTCTACCACACCTTCGTACTGCATTCTTTCCAAAACTATGCTCAGCGTAATGAAAACACCAGTTCTTCCAACTCCAGCACTAAAAAATCAAAATTTTATTCAAATATCTTTGTTACTCATTTATAAATTATTAAAATTTATTGTTAACTATCTCAATAAATATTACACTTATTCTTGGAGGGATATTATATAATGAATATGAGTATAGTCTGTCTTAGGGGAGGAGCTCTGACAGTGACAGTTCATTTTTTGGAAGTCATCTTTTGAAATTTTCATTTAGCCGTTGGACAGAGATATGTATGAATGAATCTAAGTATTTAACTCACCTGCAATGAACGGTGATAGGTCCATCCTGACCGAATTGCTCCTTAGTCTTGTGCACCTGACCAATGAAATCGATGAATCCGTCGCCCGATTTCGGCACTCCCTGTTCCGGCCAATCGGTGAACTGGAATTGGCGCATCGTCCTCGATGACCCGTCTCTGGCATCTGTCACTTTAAACTCCCTCAGTATGTACTGCGGCATGTTGTATTCAGCTATGGGATCGACTACGTAACAACCGTAACGTACTGACCTGTCGCTGGGCCAGTATTGATGACATTTCTCCTAAAAATACAATGACGTTTAGTTAAAGTAAAGTCCATCATATACTCAAAGATTATGATAAAGAATATATGACCACTTTTAGCTCGAATGTTTCAAATACGCTCGAATAGGGGGCTTAAATACCGTTAGACATGTACGACATGCTTTTAAAGCGCGCTTGAACCTTCAAGTCAATCCCACTTTTTTTCTGAGATCGACTTTAGTGAAGCTGGCTTGGAATCGAATATAATGGACTTGAATATAATATGGATCAAACATACAAACCCCAAATCATAGACAGAAAACACACAATGATAACAATACACAATATATAAACTTACAATTCCATACATACGAGGCCTTTCAGAAAAAATAAGAAGAAGGTAACCAATATAACATACAAACACAAAATACACTTAGATGCATTTTAACACACACCAAACCAATGAACACTGGACAACAAACAAAAAATGTAATCTACAAAATACCCTGTGAATGTGATAAATTTAACATCTAGACCCTTATATGTTCGAATTGAAGAACATCAAGATTATTTAAGAAAGACGACTTTCACAAATCTAAGATTTGTCAGCATTCATGGGACACAGGGCACAGAGTAGATTTTAACAACTCAATAATTATAATGAAAGAAGCGACGCCGATAAAAGAACGTCAACGGTTTTTGTAGACGTATCTGTTTTAAAAAAACTGAGTGTTCTCGAATAGTTGCATTTAGATATTTTAAATAGAGTTTTTTATTTTTTTCTTTGTTCTTTTGCTTCCGACGACGGAAAGAGATATACTTTCCGAACCTTAAGCATTTCTTTGTTCATTAGACAGATTTGTTTATTAGTAAACCACTGCTGACAATTAGTCTCCGTTGGATTAACGCAGCAGTGTTTAAAAAGAATAAGTTTTTTATTTTGTAGATTTTCTTACAGTTGCGAAATACCCATAGGACTTTTTTTGGAGAGATGAATCCGCCACATTTTTTATTATGAATCAAATCTCACCGCAAATAAAGTGAAATAAACGGTTGAAAATTAAGATCGAGATTGAAGCCTGCTTTAAGTGGATTTTGCTTGAAACACTCGAAATAAACGTGGTCATCTACTTAATTCTAATATCTAAAATACGACATAAATCTAAAATACTTCAATACTAAATGTTAAGGATTTAAAGTAAACTGCGGCAACCTCACATTCATTTGTGCGCCAGATTGACGTTGCCGCGCAACGACAGAACCAAGATGGTCGAGTCCGAGTAGTTGTCACTTAGGAGGATCTAAGCATGTTCTAAGTTAATTATAAGTTTTTTTTTGAAAATAAACGACTATAAGAGAAAATAGTAGGTTTATTATTAAACCCCGAACAAGGTCCTTTGAGCCGGATGACTCCAGCTACAACGAATCGACGATTATCCAGGAAAAGCAAGTGGTTTAAGTTTCCCGGTATGGTGATGGTGATGCTGACGAGTATTCCTGTTATTGCCCGGTGAGTTTTTCCATTTTTCCGTTTCCTAATTTACCTTTTGCCTTTATGGTCTTAATTATAGTGTCAAACGACTTCGATTTACTTTACGATTACGATTTTTAAATCAAAATACCGATATTTTAACGAAAGCCGCTTAAATTAATCGAACTTATCGAATATATATCGATTTACGAATGTTTTCCGAGCTATTAATATCTGATTTACGATTAATTTACGAATTATTTACCGAGTTATCCTTGAAATTGCGTACCGATGTACAGAGTGATTTTTTTATTGCACAGGGTGAACGATTAAACTTTATGCCTTTGGGAAAGCCTTTTGTGAGGTTATATCTATTATATATTATATTCTACCTATACTATAAGCTCATATAGCTGCCTATAGCGATTATTTCTCCAATATTTGGTCTATAGCGTTTCCTAGCGATTCCTAGAATAGTGGAATAGCGGTTGGCCGGGTCCAGGAGCGCTCGTAAGTGCTTTTATTTGACACATCAAGTTTTGCCGATGCACATCCGATTGTAACCTAATAAACGATAATAAACCTGTTTTAATTTACTTATTACTCCCCTATAATACGAAATAAATACATTTTCCTCGATTTTATGCTCGATTGCTTATGGTAAGTATACCTACTTTGTATAGTACTTTTTAATGCCATTTTCCATGTCTGAAGAAAAAAAGCTATTAAACCAAAAAATTGGTAGTATCAAAGGGCAACTTAATCGATTTTCCCAATTTGTTGATAATTTTAACCAAACTGATTACGTCGTTTTGGCTACACGTCTTGAAAAAGTAGAACAGAATTTTCTAAACGATTTCGATAACTGTCAAACACAACTAGAACTTATTTCTAGTGACGATGATACCTCCGACGATGCGAGGAGCGATTTTGAACAAAAATGCTACAGTGTAGTCGCTAAAGCAAGATCATTACTTCAAAATAACCCTTCAGCTGTGCAATCAAGCTCTTCTCAATCGACAATTTCCTCTCAAATAAGCACAGCTAACCCAGTTAAATTACCTCCGGTTAATATTCCTGAATTCGATGGGTCTTTTGACAAATTTTTACAATTTCACGATACATTTAAAGCTATAATATACGAAAATAAGTCACTGGCTCCTACCCAGAAATTTTACTATTTATTATCATCTCTAAAGGGTGAAGCCCTTCAAACGATTCAAGCTGTCCAAATAAGCGATTCTAATTACTTAATTGCGTGGAAGTTAGTGTGCGAAAAGTACCAAAATGACCGTCTAATAATAAATAGTCATATAGAATCGATTTTTGAATTACCGAATTTAAACCGAGAATCAAAAGACAGTTTATGTCATCTTGTACATACGGTACAAAAAAACGTACGTTGTTTGGAAGCATTAAACCAGCCTGTGCAGTCTTGGGACGCACTTTTAGTCTATTTAGTAAATTCTAAACTAGATAATACCACTCGCCGTGAATGGGAAAGTTGAATTAAGGTCTCAAATTTACCGACGTATACCGAGTTAATGGAATTTTTAAATAAAAAATGTCAAACATTAGAGGCCTTAACTGTTAACAATAATAATATCCCTACATCAAGTCGTCAGAAAACTCGCGGCCAGTCTTATTTGTCTTCTACTAATAATGCTTTTGTTCCCAAATGTTATTTATGTAAGGGTACACATTGGTTACACTTATGCGAAAAGTTTTTAAAAATTCCTGTTAAACAACGTTTTAATGAAATAAAAAATCTCCATTTGTGTACCAACTGCTTAAAACCAAACCATTTGCCAAAAGACTGCAGATCGGGTGGCTGCAAAAAATGCCAAAGGTGTCATCATACGTTATTGCACTACGAAAGTGTAGCTGAAAAGACAAATTCGAGCGCGATAGGAAAAACTAATTTAGCCCTTAAAAATATCGAGTTAAGGGACGAAACTGAACTTCCGATTGTCACTAGTTTTTCCAATGAAACTAACAACTGTTTTAGTAACGTGATTTTATCTACTGCAAACGTTTATATTTTCGATAAACAAAATAAGCCCATTTTATGTCGCGTTCTTCTTTATTCGGCCTCACAATCGAACTATATTACTTACAGTTTCGCCAAAAGGTTAAATTTGCAGTTAGAAAAAATTAATTTGCCAGTAAGCGGCATAAGTCAAAACCTAATTAATATTAAACACTCGACTACTACATCTATTATGTCAATTTATAATTCGTGTAGTTCTGACTTGCCTTTTCTGGTTATTGAGAAAATAACTGAAACTTTGCCGAACTTTACCTTTAATAAGAACAACATTGAAATTCCTAACAATTTGAAGTTAGCTGATATTCATTTTAACTATATATTTTTTATTCACTACTTTGTGTAGGGCAAGTTAAACTGGGCGATAATCTACCTTTGCTTCAAAAAACCCATTTAGGTTGGGTAATCTCCGGCCCTTTAACTTTGTATGCTCGACCAAAAGGTACGATTTGTAATTTAGCTATTAAAAACGAAAATGTTCAAACCCAACCCGAAAATGTATCTCTTTGTCCTTTGTGGTGGGCTGGCCCGCAATGGCTGTTAAACAATTGGCCTCAACAAAGCGACCCATGTGAGCTACCTGAACTTAAACAAAAAACTATCTTAACTTTTTCCTCTGTCGACGATTTTTCTATTTTAAATAAATATTCATCTTTTATGAAACTTAAACGTGTAGTAGCTTATTGTCTTCGTTTTGTTAAAAATAGTAAAACTGTCAAACCTAATAGAACCTTTAGTCCTTTATCAATTGATGAACTGGACGTATCATATTAAAACGCATTGTCTACATTGCACAACATCAAGATTTTCCCGCCGAGCTTCATGATTTACACAAAAATAACTCGGTTAATTCCAAGAGCCGTTTATCATCTCTTGATCCATTTTTAGATGAAAATCTTATTCGAGTAGGCGGACGTTTTAAAAATGCCGATGCCTCGTTCGGTAAAAAACATCCTTTTATTTTATGTAGTAAAAATCCTCTAGCCCGTTTAATAATCAATTTTGAACATAACCGTTTAATACATACTGGTCCTCAAGCGGTCTTAGCCAGTATACGAAGTCAATTTTGGATTTTGAACGGTAGAAACGCTGTAAAAGGTGTTATTCGGCAATGTATTCCATGTTTTAAAGCGCGTCCTAAGACAATTTGTCCCAAGATGGGCGACTTGCCATCGACCAGAGTTACAGCTAATAGGCCTTTTGCTATAAGTGGCGTTGATTTCTCTGGCCCATTTCTCGTTAAAGACGGCAAAACTCGATGTAGAATTTTAGTTAAATGCTATATATGTGTTTTTGTTTGTTTTGCCACGAAGGCATCGCATCTAGAGTTAGTTAGCGATATGTCTTTAGAGGCTTTTTTAAACGCACTAAAGCGCTTTATTTCCCGAAGGGGAATTCCTCAAGAAATTCGATAACGGTAGCTATTTTAAGGGCGCGGCTAACGAACTTGAAAAAGTATACCAATACATATCGAACAATAGTTCTGAAAATATTCGCCACTTTCTACAAATAAATAACATCAAATGGTCATTTATACCTCCTAGGTCACCCCATTACGGCGGCTTGTGGGAGGCTTGTGTTAAATCCGCGGAATTTCATATGAAACGTGTCTTATTAGACTCAAATTTGACATTTGAGCAGTTTTACACTGTAATTGTCCAAATTGAAGGCATCCTTAATTCCCGGCCTATTACTCCTTTATCCGACAATATTCACGATTTTCAACCTCTTATCCCATCCCATTTTCTCATCGGTCAAATGACCACTTCTCTGCCACAAAAGTTTACCCAAATTACTCAGCATGTTTGGGCAAGATGGCATCAAGAATACCTGTCCAGCTTGCAGCAGAGATTTAATGGCATGATGGTCTTGTTGAAGAAAGACGATTAAAAAGGGACATTTAAAGCGAAAGGGACATTTAAAAGGTCCTTCGCGAAAGTGTGCCCTCTTCCATGCTCCATGGAAAACTAAGTTTTATGTTTTTTTCTATGTGTTTCTCTACTTTATACTTGTTGCTGTATGTACTTGTATCGTACTTGCAAAGATTGTATTAGTATTTATTATTTTATGCACTTGGTGCTGTATCTGTTTGACACTTCATGTAGGTGCTTGATATTGTACTTATTACTGTACTTATGTATTATTTAGTTAATGTACTTTCTGTATTTGTTGAAACCGTTTCTCAACGACTTTCAAGGGGGGCGGTATATGTTAAGGATTTAAAGTAAACTGCGGCAACCTCACATTCATTTGTGCGCCAGAGACAGAACCAAGATGGCCGAGGGCGAGTAGTTGTCACTTAGGAGGTTCTAAGTTAATTATAAGTTTTTTTTGCAAATAAATGACGATAAGAGAAAATAGTAGGTTTATTATTAAACCCCGAACACTAAATATATTCTTCAAAGAATCTTACCCTTCCCATCTCTTTCAGTTTAGTAAGCATAACGATGATGGTGGAGTTATGCTCCCACAGCATTCTCCAAAGATCGTCGGTGGTGTCAGGCAACGGTCCTTGTGTAGCTATGTAAGCTTTTCGATAACGATAACCATCCAGAAAGCTGGCGTTGATATAATCCGAACCTTCAACGTTCCTGATTGGCTGCAGACATACCCTGGTACTTTCGTATGGTAAGATATGTACTAATCTGTAACAAAATATCAAGTGTAAGTACTTATAATCATAATATAAGCCTAACACTAAAAAATTGGTCAAGTGCGAGTCGGACTCGCGCACGAAGGGTTCCGTACCATTCATTATCTATACAACATTAGAGACTATATTATTATAAACTTTTTTCCGATTTAGCTGAAATTTTGAATGCGCGTATCAGTAATTTAAAAAAAAATGAAAAAACACATTACTAAAAATTGTATTAATCAATAATATATATGTAAAAAGTAAAAATAAATATGTAAAAATTAAAAAAAAACGATTAAAAAAAGTTGCCTTGATTAGGATTCGAACCTGCCTTACTACGGCTCCAACATGCAGCAGCGTAAAGTCCTAACGCTTTAACCACGCGGCCACCGAGGACTTGAAAGATTCTATGTAAAATTCTTACTTAAAAGATAATGTTTAGTGAAAGTACTTTTTTATTTATAAACATTTATTTAATTCTGTTTTTAATATTTGTTCTTATAGCGGCAACATAGATACATTATCTGTAAAAATTTCAACTGTCTAGCTATAACGGTTCATAAGATAGACCTTTGTGACAGACGGACGGACAGCGAAGTCTTAGTAATAGGGTTCCCGTTTTTACCCTTTGGGTTCGGAACCCTAAAAAGCATCGATTTGTTTTTGTATTAGACTAATACGGAGCGATCAACAATGATTGAAATAGTTGGGTAAATTGTGTTAAAGCATTTTAGGATTAGTGATTGATACTGATGTTAAATTCTCGGAGGATAAAAAAAATTATCGATCTAAAAATTATAGCAAATTATTATAGCAAATTATTATAGCAATCTTATTGTGACAAGTTGGTAACTTACCTATTTTTGTGCTTGTTGCATGGCAAATTTGCCGTAACGAAGCGCAAAGAATCAGTCTTTATGTTGCTCAATTTCTTGAATTCGTGCTCCATTCCGGTAATGTTCTCTCCAGGTTCCAACTGCATTAGTTTTTGGATGTGCGAATGTAAGTTCCTGGCTGGAACTTCGGTCAAACCGCAGATATAGGCCTAAAAATATTAATCAGAGTATTTTAGAGCTATATTTAGATACTTAGTCATAAAATTGTGAATTATCAGAAGCGCTATAAGTATCATGTAATCCCTGTTTACCCGAACTGTATTCCGGAAATTTCGGCAGCATATTCTGCAGATAAAAATAAGTAAAAAAGTTCGTATAAATGTATGTCTTAAAATGCTTAGTTTCGGAGATACAGGGTTTAGAGTTTTCATTTTTATTTCGATTTTTTCAAATAATTTATGAAGTAACGTCAATATTTAGATGAAAATTGGTGTCTGGGGTTTTTTTGACGTGAGAAATTTGATTCTGATGTCAATATGACTCCTACTTGTAGAGGGCGCTACATATTTTTTAACTGGTTTGAAGAATAATAACTTCGTCTGTCCCTGTATAAAACTACTGAGTAAAAAAGTATACATTAACGACTGTTTTTATGTAAAAAAGATCTCTTGGTAAAAATCGCTACGAGTAATGGTTCTGGAGATATTTGGAATCAAAATGATCAATACTTGTCATTGACATAAATTAAACATGTTGACTAAATAGTTATTAGACTGAAATCATAAATTTGAAACGTTTTTGTACCAAAAGTTCTTTATCATCATTTTTTCTCGGAAAAATTTATGATTAATTTAAAAAAATAAAAACTTCCCAAATTTATTATTTCAGTCAAATAACTATCTACTCAAAGTGTCGCGTCCTCCTTGGAAATAAAAGCCGTATTTATTTACATATATACAACCTTTATTAAATACTGAGCTTACTTGCAACTAATAATAAACAAAATCCACGAATAAATGATTAATTAAGAAAGAGAATGGAATAGCGTAAATTATACAAAACCCGGTACGACTCCGCCTTCCGCTTCCTTTTAAAATCTATACGATACTAAAGACTAAAATCCCAAATATTCAGTTTTCTAAAAAATAAGGCACATGTTTTTAACTCAGTACCTACTTCAAAAGCTACTTGAACTACGTCCTCGAAGGAACCCTTGTCTTCGGTCATAAATTAATAGACAAGAGTTCCCAAAACCAACCGTCACCAACAGTAAATCCATAAACTTTCACTTTTGAATAGGATCGAGAAAAACATGTGCATCTTAAACTGAAATTACCTTTATTCTAAAAAATGTAACAGAAATTGTTCCCTAAAAATATATACTGGCTCTGACATCCTCCCACCTGAGTCCATTTTACTACACTAATGTGGACTCACTTAATCAGAGACAGTCGCAGAATCTTAAAATCTTAAGTCGAGCTATTACATTACATACATGGCATATTGAACAAACCAAAAAAAAACATCAAATCTTGTTCACAAATTAAGATAAATTATATGCAGTAAAATCTACCAGTCCACCAAATGTACAGAGTTTTATAATATACCGTATCTCTTGGGAGATTTTACTTCACGCCCACTTCGCGTCACTACCACTTTTTCGACGGATGATTTACTTTCATTCACTCCCGATTTCGCGGCACATTTTCCCGCACTTGCCTTGGTCACTACAGGAGGTGCTGGATCCTGGTTGGCCCCGGTCTGCTCAGGGTGAGTCAAATCATCCAAAATCGCGTCGAAAATAGCGGGATCACTGCATTCCAGAGGATATAGTCGTTGAATGGGTCGTAGGTACATCCCTTTACTTGTGATGACCTTTGCAAGGCGAGCTTTGTCATCTTTTCCCCGGATCACTTCTGCTACTCTCCCCATTGGCCAATCCATGCGTTTATCCTGGTCATTTCCCACCAGGACAACTTCTCCTACCGTAACTTTCCGTCCACCGTGGCGCTTTTGAGCAAGGTGTAACTGCCCCAAGTATTCGCTACGGAACCTTTTTTGCAGATCTTCTTTTAATTTAAGTTTGTAAACCAATCTTCTGCAAAGAGTTTTCCGGTCAACATCGTCGATGTCAGGAACACCACACTCTTTTATGTCTCTCAAGAACATCATCGGTGTTAATGGAGTCAGTTCATTGCGTCATTGCTGCTAAAAGTTAAGGGCCGCGAATTTATTACCGACTCACAATCACAAATCACCGTTGACAAGTCCTCGTAAGTAAGTGAAGTTGACCCAACACTTTTCTTAACAACGGTTTCAGAATCCCGATGAGTCTTTCCCAAAACCCGCCCCACCACGAACCCGTTGGGGGGTTAAACCGCCACGTAATGCGTTGTACGGCACTTTCTTCGGCGATTTTCGTAAAGTCTAAACGTGAAAACGCGTTATCAGTCCCAACAAAGTTTGTCCCGTTATCACTATAAATTGTTTTCGGCCGCCCCCGTCTAGCAATAAAGCGTCTTAATGCTCCCGCACCTATCCATCTCGGAATTCTTATTTCAATCAAAAATGGGAGTTCTTCCATCCATGATCGAAAGTTCTTGGCCATTTCTTCGTCAACTGGAGTGTCCCAACCTATGGATTTCTCCCACGTCTGTTGCAGTAAAATTTTAGGGTACAATGTAGCAGGACAGGTGAACCCTATCGGATCGAATAGTCGTTGAGCCAATGATAACATAAATCTTTTGTCACCGGCCTACTAAGCATTTCGGCAAAGTTTTCTAGCTCCAACCTAAGGCTTAAGGTGTCTTTGGTGGTATCCCATGTCATACCAAGTACCGTGGTACCACAGTAGAATTCGTTTGGTTGCACTTGGTTGGTATACTCCACCCTCTCAAATCAAATGCTCCTTCAGCCATTATTGAAGACGCCTCGTTAATAAACTTTACCAAAAGCTCCTCATTTGCGACGCTTGTCATGCAATTATCGACATAAAAGCTCTTTAATAATTGTTGCACTGTTCCTTCTGAATAATGTGTACCTGCCTTTTGCAGCATCTGGGTCAAGTGATATTCTAGCGTGGCCCCTAATAAAAATGGGCTACTGTTAATGCCAAACACCACCCTTCGGTGCCGAAAAATTTTTGACCACCGTCTTTATTGACCCATAAAAATCGTAGGTAGTCCCTGTCGGTCTCGTGTACACCGATCTGTAAAAGGCTTTTCTAATGTCCGATACCACTCCAATTTTATTGGTCCTGAATCTCAGAAAAATATTCGGAATTTCCTCTATAAGGTTTAACCCTTTCTCGAGACACTGGTTTAAAAGAGGGTTTATATTTTTCTTTAGCTGATGCATCAAATACCGGCCGAATTTTCGTTGTGCTCGATTCTTTGATAACCGGCCGGTGTGGCAGATAATGGGCCTGGCCTGTATTCGTCTGAGGGACTTCTTCGATTATGTTTTCCGCAAGCCATTCTTCAAAAACCCTGTCATATAATTCGAAAAGTCCATCCTTGCGTAACTTGTTAACAGTGTTGTCAAGTCTTTTCCTGGCAAGATTGTAGTTATTCGGCAATTCTGGGCGATCCTCTAACCAAGGTAGGCGGACTTCGTACCTGGACTCGCCATTGACGGTAATTGTCTTTAAAAATAAATCCTTTGCTGCCAAAGCGCTTTCTTCCCGTGTCATTTGCTCCGATGAGTCCACGATGCCTAACGTCTCCAGTTTCCACAAGTTGGCCAATGATGTGTCATTGACGAAAAGACTTAAAGCCGACAAAGTTTCGACACTATTACGTCCTTCAGGTATCTTGCCCATCAAGGTCCAGCCTAATAGGGTTTCTACTGCCACCAAACCACATGGCAAAATATGTCTTCGGCCCGTGTACAACTTCCCCGCCACATCTGCACCAATCAACACCTCAATAGGTGACAGGGTCGAAGTATCCGAAAGCACAATACCCAACCGACTCATTTCTTCCAACCAAACTCCATCAAAGATAGGCGAAACCGCATTGCAAATGACGTCCTGGTCAAGAGCTTCGAAAGTACAAGCATAACTATTATGTCGTAAATTAATTTCATAAGCGTTATGTTGCCGCATGATCTGACTTCCCCAAACAATCCATGTAACAAATTTATCTTTTGTTTGGGGTGTAACCTAACAAAGTGGCCGTTGACCCTAAAATGTACGACTTCTGGGAACCAGTGTCGATTAAAACCCGTACAACTTTGGAGCGCCCTGTTCCGTATAATTGTACGCGGAGGGTTTGCAAAAATACCTGGGTGTTCGTGCTGTGGTTGGCTACTAATACCTGGCTGGCGTCTGCATTGGTCGTGATGTCCGATGTAAGTGGTGGTTCTGTGACTTGTGGTATACCTTTCGCCAGCCCTGGACACATAATTTCCATATGTGATTTACCACAAGTGACACATTTTACTCTCATGTGACATCTTCGTGAAATATGCCCGATTTTGAGACACCGAAAGCATGCACCGGAATCGCCCAACTTGTCGCGTTTCTGTTCGACTGACAACTTCTTTGCCCGAAAACATTTGACGCTTTCATGCGAATTGTTGTTACAGAAAACGCACTGCGGTTCCCCTGGTGTTATTTGCTAAGCCTGATGCAGTTGGCACAGACCTAAACTTCACGTTCCCGCTATTATCTACACCGGTATTCCTATGTTCCAAATTCTTCTTAGTTTTATTTAAACCTGATCCTAAACCAAACCCTTCCATCGCCAAACATACATGTTGTTTGTTTTCTACCTCGTGTCTTAAAAATAACATTAGACTTTTTAGGCGGTCTTCTAAACTAGACTCCCCGTTACCCTCAGTGACCGTTGACGTACGTTGCCAAATACGAAGGAGGTCCGGCGGGAAACACGATTCGATTAATGGAAACAGCATAGCCGCGTACTTATCGGAAGTAATGCCGAGTGTTTCCAACGCACGTAATTGCGTCTCTATTTTATCGTATAATAAAGAGATCTCGATTTTTTCGTTCGACGTAGCGTTTCTTATTATTAATTTCAACAACTCACGCACATAAACTTCGATTTGAAGATCGTCCCTACCGAATCGCGCTTTTAAGCAATCGACTATCTTCAAATAATTAGTACCCGTCGCGGGAAAACTGTCCACTAATTGTCTGGCACGGCTTCCGGCAACCGTTGCTTGAACTAAATATTCGACCTTGTCACTTAAGTCCAAATCAAGATCGTCATGAATTTTCCTAAATTGGGACCAAAACGGAAGCCAGTCTTTAATAGTCCCATCAAACTTTTTAAACTCCAGCACCGGTAACTTAAATTTACGCCTACCTGGTTCAATAACTGTTTGTTTACCGCTACATGAGTGGTTCGACCTCACCTCGGCAGCCAACGCGGGTGGCTTGAAGAACTCCTCACAGCGTATACACAGATCACAAAACTTGTGCTCATAGGTGTCGTTTCCTTCAGTCTCTGTCAATAAATCCTTTTCGCTAACGTCTTCTTCCAGCATCGTATTGAAAATCGTCTCATCCAGTTTTTTGAGACTATCATGTTTTTGCTGGAGAATGTTCCACGAAACTTGTACAAGCCGACTTTCCACTTCGCCTTTAGATAGCAAATCTGAAAGCTCATTTGCCACCTTCGTAAAAGAAGTGCGAAGTACTTTGCGATTTTTCCTTTGTTGTTCCATATTTGATCACGCAACAAACACAACCCGTAAACCACACGTTAGTTACCGCAAAGTTCAGCGAGTATCGCCCTAATCACTTACACGCGAATTCGCTTTCGAATAACAAAAAAGTTACAAGTTCAGCCACAGTCCTGTCACGGTCGCCACTAAATGTCGCGTCGAAAAAACTACCCGTCTTAACAACACGTCTCCTTGGAAATAAAAGCCGTATTTATTTACATATATACAACCTTTATTAAATACTGAGCTTACTTGCAACTAATAATAAACAAAATCCACGAATAAATGATTAATTAAGAAAGAGAATGGAAAAGCGTAAATTATACAAAACCCGGTACGACTCCGCCTTCCGCTTCCTTTTAAAATCTATACGATACTAAAGACTAAAATCCCAAATATTCAGTTTTCTAAAAAAATAAGGCACATGTTTTTAACTCAGTACCTACTTCAAAAGCCACTTGAACTACGTCCTCGAAGGAACCCTTGTCTTCGGTCATAAATTAATAGACAAGAGTTCCCAAAACCAACCGTCACCAACAGTAAATCCATAAACTTTCACTTTTGAATAGGATCGAGAAAAACATGTGCATCTTAAACTGAAATTACCTTTATTCTAAAAAATGTAACAGAAATTGTTCCCTAAAAATATATACTGGCTCTGACACAAAGTGTTAATATTTTGTCAATAGTGACATGTGTTGACTATTTATGTCCTAAATAATTTGAGAACGGTTGCTCGTAGCGATTTTTATCAAGAGATATTTTTTAGGTAAAAAGTCAAAATGGAATTCGGAAATGTTTATATTTTCACTCAGTAGTTTTATACAGGTACGGACGAAAAGTTATTACTCTTCAAAACAGTTAAAACACATGTAGACTATCATAATTCTCATATATCAATAAGAGTCATATTGAGATTAAAATAAAATTTCTCACGACAATAAACTCCCAGACACCAATTTTCATCCAAATATTGACATCACTTCACAAATTATTAAAAAAAATCGAAATAAAAATGAAACTTCTACACCCTGTATCTCCGAAACTAAACATTTTAGGACATACATTTATAAGAACAATTTTGCTTATTTTTATCTGCAGAATATGCTGGCGAAGTTTCTGGAGTATAATTCGGACCACCCTTATAAAACCCTTATAAACATAATATATGCCCTTTAGGGACTTTAGACAGTTAAAGTTGTAAAACATACCTCTAACAAAGCGTCGTGAATGAAGATGTACTGATCTTCAGTTTGGACCATGTAGTTCCTTTGTGCTCGCAGACAGGTTACATGACCGTATATATCCACGGTTTTTTCATGTCTCATACGTTCCAACATGGAATCGATAACAATGAAGCAACCTAGATTAGATTATTTGCACATTAAGCTTAACAGGCTTATTAAAAATATGAGTAAAAATAGAATAAAATGGAATAAATCAAACTATTAAAAATAAGTATATGAGATACTTAATAAAAGTTGGAAAATTTTGTAAAATATAGCAGAAAAAATTATAAATGCTGTGTGCTATTTAAAAAAATTGAGATTTTTTAATTTTAAGTAGTTGAAATTCATAAATATATTTTGAACACCCTGTACCTAGCATCTAACTAAAATATCTTTATATACATATTTTTTTTTATCTCTATAAAATTCTTCTACCAAATTTTAGTAGTTTATCTAACTTCAGAAACAATGGCATCATCCTCAGAAACATGTTCTAGTTAGAAATATAACTAAATAAAGCCAGCTTTTAGCTTTTATAACTGTATGAATTACTAATAAGTAGAAATTCAGAACTTTAAATAAAATTTCAACCTAAGTGCTTAAAAATTCATGCATGTTTTGAAACACAGCGAAGTAGTAAGAAATTTTAATCATGTATAACTAAATAAAAGTAAATTTATTTATTCAACTCATTAATTATAAATCTAAATATATCATGACCATCTTGTTAGAAAAAGTTACAAAAAACGACACATTTAAATATTATCTTTAAATTGTATACCGGGTGCGTCTCAAAAATGGCTCACCCCTATAACTTTTTTATTTTTTCAGATAAAAAATCGAGATTTGGTATGTTAGTATATGACATAAATTAGGATTGATTGACGTATCCAATTGTTTTCGGTCACTTTCTGTTTCACAGGAAATAGGACTACCAACTTTTTATTTCCAAAAGGCACCCACGGTATTTTGTTACTTTATTTGATAGAAAATGACACTCTGATTAAAATGACATATGATATGTCAGCATTTGAAATTTTCGAATATGGTTTATTTGAAATTGCAACATGCGATTCATAACGACAATTTGACTCGAAATACCAAGTGCGTGGTATCAAATTATTCGTAAAAAAATGCTTTTTCCAAATATGCTCATGAGCCACCCTCGTTTCATTTGAAAAAATTAAGATATGATTAAAAATACAATTTGGCGATCTTTTAACTGGTCAGGACAAGACACTAAAAACATTATACGATCAAATCTATTTTTCCAAGACTCCTTGAATAAAAATTAGTGTGTTTAACACAGCCATGGCACTCTAGATTAAAATTTAAAATACAATTTTGTTTTAAGCGAATATTTCAAATTTGATACAAAGATTTTATATCATCCTATCCTTGTATATGAATATAAACAAGGATCCTATTCAGAGTATCATTTTCTATCGAATAAAGTAAAAAAAACCAAGGGCGCTATTTAAAAATCACAAGTTGTAGTCATTTCCGGTGAAACAGGAAGTGGTCGAAAAAAACTGAATACGTCAATCAATCCTAATTTATTTCAAAAATAAAAAAAGTTATAGGGGTAGTTAAATCAGTCAAGCCTAGATAAATTATTTCTCAAATGAGTCAAATGTCCAGTGGAAAAGTAAAGTATTTTGGTGTATTGTGGTAAATTAGTGTTTTATTTTGCAGCTCAGTTGTAAATAAAGAATTATTTTTATTACAGAACTTACCGGTCCTTCCAACACCAGCCGAACAATGCACAACAATAGGCCCGGCATCGGGCGGATTCAAACTCCTCACTCTTCTTAAAAACTGCAAGAAAGGAGCCGGATGATCGGGCACACCATGATCAGGCCAAGCAGTGAACTGCAATTGCTTCACTTCCCTCCCTTCAGGATAACCATCTTTTTGTATCTGGAACGTTCTGATACAGTATGTTGCCAGTTCCTGAACGTCTGTTATGGTGACCGACATGCATGTACCATAAAGCTCTGTTCCCCTCGAAGGCCAGTACTGATCACACTTGATTCTAGTTCGTTCTTCCAGCTTGGTCATCATTACTATAGTTGCTGCTTTGAGTTCCCAACACATCCTCCAGAAATCTCCGAAAGTGTCTGGCAGTGGACCTTGAGTAGCCACGTAAGCATTGTGTTTTCTATATCCGTCGCAATAATTCGCGTTTATGTAGTCCGATCCCCTTCTACCATCCTCTGTAGGAAGTATAACTCGACTGTGATCATAAGAAATAACGTTAGCGTATCTATTCTTAGGCTTGTTGGCGTCCATGTTTGAAAACTCCCATGTGAACGTCTGTCCAGGCTCGATACTTTCGTACTCCTGTGAGAACTTTAGATTGTCGTTAGCTTTGAGTCTCTCAATGTGATTGGCCAGTTCTGACACAGGAATAGGCGGATGCGAGATCATAGCAGGAGTCTGGAAGTTTAACCTCCTCATTTCAACCGGGTCGCTGGGGGCTATGCTACTGTTCAAATCCGCGGGGATAAGAGGCTTAGTAACGGCAGCTTGGTCGGGGGCTTTACATGGCTGTCTTCTACGCCGGAGAATGAACAGAAGAACTAGGATTGAACACAAGAGCATCGCGGTGATTATAGGTCCGATGATCCACAGATATGTAGCTTCTTTTCTTTGCGAACTGACCTTAACGTCGTTGTCTGTCGGGGCGTTAGGATTAGGTCTTATCGGAGGATCTCCAGGCGGAGGTGGATGCATATCCAGAGATAAAAATTCCGAAAACGGACTGCTAGTGTATAAATGCTTCTGAGGCGTATCCACGACCGCGCGGACAAAAATCCTGTACCTCTTCCCGTGCTGCAGCTTGTAATTGACCAAACCATCCGTGCTTTCGCCCGTACCCAAGTGAAACGTATACGGAATGCTCCTTTGCGGAAATTTGGCAGCGATGTAAGGCAAGTTGGGTTCTTCAGGCACTTTTTCAATGTTGGCGATGAGGTCGTTGGTTAGGAACTGGTCAGGGTTCATGTGAATGGTGGACTTGTCCTCGGGCACGACGATGAGATAGTAATGACTGATCGGACCGTACTCTTCGGAGGCCTGGGGCAAGATCACGTGGATCTCCTCGCCGTTGACCACGCCGTAAAAGTCGGGCTTGACCATGGGCTGGGGGGCGGCCATTTGGGTGGTAACGGTGATTTTTGTGGGTGGGCGGTACGAGTTATCACTAGGTATGGCGCTGACGTTTACGTTGTACGTTGTGAACGGAGACAGTTCGTTGATGGTGTGAGATTTAATGTCGTCGCCCAGGATTACCTCGACACGAGGAATGTTCTGGGTTTGGGTTATTCCTTGCGAGTCAACGAACTCCTTGATAGCGTCGAAAGAAATTTTGTACTTGATCGGATTGAGTCTGATGGGCGGTGACCAAGAGAGCGTCATCGAGTGCGTAGTAACTTCGTGAGCGCGTAAGTTTAAAGGAACATCTTCAGGCTTAACCTTCGCCGTTACTTTCTCAGATAATCTTCCTAAAGCTACACCTAGACCACCACCTTTAAGTCTGGCAGCTACGGCAATAGCATACTGAGCGTATTTCTCCAAGTTCACTAAGTCAGCAGAGGTGGTAAGACTGACCGATTTTTGCTGCCATTCGTCCAAGTCTTCTACTGCGGTCATAGTATAAAATATCTGGTATCCTATGACTTTGTTTCGGGAAGGAACTGCCTCCCACCATACCTCAACGCTAGACTCCGATGTCGCAACAGCTTTCACTGCCATAGGAGCCCTACCAATGTCTTTATCCGTTTGTATAGTTTGTTTCTCGCTGTTTGGACCAGCTCCCTGGTTGGTATAGGCCTTAATATGAAATACGTACTCAGTATTTTCTTCTAAATTAGTAAACACTGCTTTCGTTTTGGTGACATTGCGAACAATAATGTTATTGTGGTCGGATTTCTTGTGAAATTCGATGTCATACTTCACGATTTGTCCGTTCCTGTGCTCCCTGGTAGGGGGATCCCACGTTACGCACACAACGTCTGGGGTTTGGAACCGATAGGTTATGTTGGTAGGGGGTCCAGTGGGTGGTCCTTCAGGGGTGTGCAGGTACTGAATGTTTTCTTGACCGGTACCAATGTTATTAATGCCGGCGACTCTAAATTCGTATTCCACACCGCGTTCGAGGTCGTTGATACGATATTTCTGGGTTGAAGTGCCTTTCAATTGAACGTCCTTTAAGAGTTGTTCTTTTACACCGTATCTCAGTCTGTATCCTTTGAGTTCGCCGTAGATTTGAGAAGGTTTCATCCATTCTAGTTCTATTGTGACCGTTGGCTCTCTTTCGAGGGTTCTAAAAAGAAATTATTAATTTATTGAAGTGAATAAATTAAATGGTTCTAATTATATAAATTACACACTTTATATTTTTCAGTGATAGAAAATGACAATATTATGATATAACTACTGACGTTTTTAGAAAAATATAAATTGATTCGAATTAAATTGTGGTATTTAGTATAAGAAAAAAGAAACCTATAAGTCGAACAAAAAATACGAACGAAATCTCTCAAGTGGCAATAGGCTGGGACACCTGGCAAGAAAGAAGGACAACAGATGAACCACAAAAATTACACATGGTATCCACGAAGAATTAAGAGACCTAGAATAAGACCAATCCTAAGATATTAGGAAATCTTGGACACGTTTAGTCAACCATGGACCCAGTTACAAAGATATTATGTAAATATGTGAGGAAGGCTACACCAAAGTTGGAAATGGTTGAATAAGCTGAAAATGGTGATGGTGATGATTTAGTATAAGACTTTTTTTCATATTTTATTCATATATAGGGAAATTAAAATAACTTTGGTTGCACATCATAATACGACCACCAGCAAACTCCATAAGACGACGACGCATGGTGTCATTGATGACGTGCAACGAAAGTTGTTTTAGTTTCCCTTTATTTCCCTTACTTTATAGTTAACTCAGGTCTGTTAGGTACTCCCCCAGGTGTTTTGATTTTGACAGGGTTGCTTCTGTCGCCATCGCCCTTTCTGGTCAAGGCGGCTACTTGAACTGCATAGGTGGTATCGGGTTGTAGACTGGATATGTTTAGTTCCAGAACTGAATCTCCGGAAACTTCAATACGTATTGGTTCGTTCAGAAAGTTCTTGCTCTGGAAAAACGGCAGATTAAAAATCAAAAAGTTAAACCATTTAAAACTCGAGGCATTGTAATTTACCATTTCATTCATATTTCTCTCATATAACCAACTACGTTACCACATTTTTACCCAATAAAATACATTAAAGAATAGACTCATAGAAGTGTTGGAAAGTAACTACTTATTCGTTACTCAAATACTCGTTACTCATCGATATCCGAAGTAACGAGTAACGAATTTAAAACAATATGATTACTTTGATTATTACTACTACTTATAGTATTTATCATTTATCATGGATCGCACTGATATGTATATCTAATATGTATAATAGTTGTAGTCAGTAAATGTAATCAAATGCGAATTATATGAAAATATAATTGTATCTACGTATTACATATACAGGGTGACTTTTCTACGATGTTCTCTATGGGTATCTCGGAAACTACTGCAGCTCTCTAGTATTCAGCTAAATGGGGAAAAATAATTTTGTGGGGTTATAAATATGCGCCTTTCAAACTTTTTTGAAAAAGTTCATGGATTACTAGATATTTCGAAAAAAATAAATTTCGGTTATTTTAAAAACGGTCCCAAATTCCAGTATAATCGATTTTAAACAAAAAAATTTCAGATAAAAATTGTAGATTCTAATAATTTCTTAATTAGATTGTGTTCTCCGTTTTTTTCTAAAGCCTGTCATTTTTGACATATGACACAAACATATTTTTTTTTAAATGAAACCTATAGTTGGCCATAACCTCATAAAAAGCATAATTTTTAAAGCTCTTCGGCGATATCAGCTATAATATGTTTTTCTCGAAAAGTTGTTTGACTAATTTCACTTAGTTGGCATGATATTCTTATTCTATTATGATTTAAAACTTATAAAGAAATATTTGTTTAAACGATTTTTTATAATTTACATTAAACAAATTAAAACTCGAAAAACTAATATCGCTACATACACTTTAAGTTATTTTAGCAAATGTTCAAAAAATCCAGGCTTTAGAAAAAAAAACATAGAACACAATCTCAATAAGGATGTGATTATCTACAACTTTTATGTGAAAACTTTTTGTCTAAAATAGATTATAATGGAACTGGGAGCATTTTTAAAATAGCACAAAAAATTGTTTTTTTCGAAATATCTAGTAAGCCATAAACTTTTTCAAAAATCCGAAAGGTGCATATATGTTTGTCCTCACAAAATTGCACTTCCTCCCTCATTTGACCGACTCTCTAGCTCCAGTAGTTTCCGAGATACTGCGAGAACATCGTAGAAAACTCACCCTGTAGATAATAGTATCAATTATATTTGGGCGAATGTTTTCAATAACTTTTATTGATTTCTCTATAGCTTATATCTGGTCTCTTAGAAAAGTACTCTCGTATTATTCTATACAGCACACGACCTACCTCCTCTTTAACTTCTTGAACGTGTACATGGTACCCCAATATAATACCGTTCCTATCCCTGATTTGAGGAGGTTTCCAGTTCACCTTAATAGTGGTAGAGTTAATAGGAGTAACTTTAACATCTTGCGGGTTTCCGGGCACTGTTAGGATACAAAAAAATATTAGCCATTCGTACTCGGACTTAAAAAATTATTTAAAATCGTTTTAACATGCGAGCACATCACACGTTTTTGACTTTTTTGATCTTTTTCGTTTTCGTCTTTCCGTTATATAACATCCTTCGGACATTTGAATACCAACAACACAGAAAAAAAGGGACTTAATATATAATTTACCTCGTCCAAATTGAGATAGTAGCAAAAAAATGGTATATTTCTGGGGGTATATAAAATATATATATATATACGAAAAAATACAAGAAATTAAAAAACAATCCTTGTCTGCTATAGCTTTCTCCAAAAAAAAAACTTCAAAACACTTCTCAAAAAAAGACAGCGGCATCAAAAACAAAAGCACAAAAATTCAATCTACGTTAAGTTTACGTCACTAAGGTCACTACTAGCACACAACAGTAAAAAAATACTCACTCCTCCTTACTGTCGGACCGAGATTAGCAAAAAAAGTCAAGAAAAATACAAAATAGTGAGTGTCACAACGCTATCTCTAGTTTAAACACATAAAAAATGTCAAAAATCGTCTTTGCATAGTCTTCGTACATCGTCTGATCTGTCAAAACAGCAAGTGAACAGTCTAGTGTCTTGAAACTATTGTAAAAAAGACTATTTTGTAATTTAGTAAAAAGCAACTGTGAAAAAAGAACTGTCTATAGTATTAAAATAGTATTTTTTAGTGTTGTTCAGAAGAATATTAAAAAGAGTTGGCCACAAAATTATAAAAAATTTCCATGGAGTTATCATGAATATTAAAAATTGATTTTATCAATTTTCTAAAAATATTGATCTGATTTTTTCATTCCTATCACAAAATATTAAAAAAGGAACCATTGAAGTATAAATTGCTGTACAGGATGTCCCATTTTTGTGTACCTTATAAAGTTTCTTGTTTATGAGTAGAGATACAAAGATGGTTTTCACATAACTGGGCTATTTTTTATGAAACTAAAGGTCCTTTTTACATATTTTTCCTTGCTCTGTTAGTTCCTCATATACAAATGAAAGCTTCAAAATGACAGCTTCCAGCGAAAAACTGTTTACGTCAATGGATTCTACGTAGAAAACTCTAAGGAATTCAGTTTTCATCTTTTCGATAAGTTATAAAATAACCAAGATACGAATGGGGTCGAAAAATGCAACATTTCCAAATTCGCCCTGTATCTCAGAAACCAAGAGAACTAAAACAAATTTATGTGTAGTACCTTTAGTTTAATAAAAAAAAGTAGCAAAACCGCATCTTGGTGTCTCCTCATAAACGTCCCTGTAAAACGCACGAAACTGAAATACCCTGTACAATTCTATGAATATAGTAAAAAGCTTCCATGTTTTTATAACGATGATGCTATAACGAAAACTATTGTAAAGTTGTTTTAAACAAATATCTAATATGTTGACTTGTTGTCTCAACCAAATCGAACCATGTATGAGAGACTGGCGTTACTTCATTTTTCTCCGCTACAAAAATGCTTGGAGGTTTTCAAAATTCGTTACTTCTTGTTTTTTACTCGCACACATGTAATGATCTCAAAAAATATCAAAAATAAATATGAGGGTAAGGAATTAGATAAGGTAACAAAATAAAAAGATGGAGAGACGACATTTTGAAATAAATTTGTTCATACTTACAAAATATTAAATTCACCAAATCTACAAAAATACACCAAAACGTTTACTTAAACTCTTATACCTGTAGTATATCAGTCGGTTGATATGATTAAAATTTATCTAAAAATAAACGAAAACCTTTTATTATTTTCTGATGATGCTGGTCAGCAAAAAATGCATCATCAGCATCATCATTTTCAGCTTATTCAACAATTTCCAATTATGGTGTATTCTCCCTCATATATTTAGATACTCTCTTTGTAGTTGGGTCCATTGTTGTCTATTGTTGGCTATACAGGCCCAAGTTATCCCTGCTAATTCCCTAATATCATGGTCCCATCTCAGGTTTGGTCTTCTTCTAGGTCTCTTAATTCCTCGTGGGTAATATTTTGTAATTTTTGTGGTCCATCTGTCGTCCGTCCTTCTTGCCAGGTGTCCTGCCCATTGCCACTTGAGGGATTTGATTCTGTAGATGACATCTATTACCTGGATCTTATGTGGTATCCATTCTCTTTGCGGTCTTTCTTGGTTATTCCTAGCATATTTCGTTTCATTTAGCGTTGTAGGACCTACTTTATCGCTGGCCGTATTTACTTCGTTGATTTGTGCATGTACTTCTTCAGGACTATGCCATCAGCGAATCTATGATGTTCTCCATCTTTTTTTAATCCTTTGCTGGTCCAGTCCAGTTAACGGAAGATTTCTTTTAGTATTGCTGTAAACAGCTTTGAGGATATCGCGTCTTCCTGTCGTACTCCTTTGTCAGTTAGGAACTCTGGGGTTGTGTTATATATCATTACTCTTGCTTTGGCTTCTTTGTATATATTTGCGAGAGTTTCTATATAAAATCTGCCAATTAGTGCTTCTATTATATATCTTCTATATCGAGTCGAAAGCCTTCTCAAAGTCTATAAAGGCTAATGGCTAGTGGAAGTTCGTATTCTTTTGTTTGGCTGATAGTTTCTCTTAGTATACGCATGTGATCAATCGTGCTGAAGCCTTCTAAAACCTGCTTGTTCTCGTAGTTGTGCAGCGTCTAGCGTGTTTTGTATTCTGTTGTTTATTATTTTTGTGAATATCGTGAATGTGATTGGTAGTAGGCTTAATGGTCTACAGTTTCTGATGTTTTTTTTGCTGCCTTTCTTATGAATTAGAATTACGTTGGCGCTATTCCATTTTTGCGTTGTATGTTTTCTCGTTAGATAGCTGATGTATATATTTGCTGGGATTTTTTCACACCGGGCAGCGCGGCGTACTGAAGTATTTCAGCTGTTATTCCGTCGTTCCCTGCTGCTTTTTCATTTTTCATATCTTGAAGCGCCTTTTCTCCTTCTCCTACGAGAACTTCTGAGGCGCCGTCTTGTGGCAGAGGCGGTCTTTCTTCATGTATGTTTTCTGGAGCTTTATATAGGTCGTTGTAGAATTTTGTTACCAGAGTTATTTCGTTTTTGTCTGTTATTCTGATGTTTGTTGTGTTAATGCGATTAGCTGCTTCTTTCCGGTCATGAGGGATTTCTTAGCGTTCTTACAGGTTTTTCTGTGTTCGATTGCAGTTTGTACAAGTTTTTTATTGCAGTTCTTGATGTCTTTTGCAATCTTCTTTCTCATTAAAAAAGGCAGAAAAAAGACTCAAAGTCTCGGTTCTGTGGTCTTTTTTCTGCCTTTTTTAATTTGAACCAGGTCTCTTTGAGAAAAATGGATGCCTTTTTTAAATTTCTTTCTCATTGTCTTAAAAAGAGTGCATATAAAGTTTAAATTTGAGTTTTGGTGTTTGGTGTTGATTTAAAGGTTACGACTTTAGTATTAGCAAAATCATGAGATTTAAGGAAATGTTTGATAAGTAACTAGTAGAAATTTGAATGCAAAGTATTAAAGCAATTAAAAATATAGTTACAGAATTAAAGTTAATAGATTGTCGTTTCTCCGACTTTACTATTCTGCGGAAAGGTTATAAGTAAAAAACGGGAGATAAAAAGGGTTCTGTATAAAAAATCATGTGTGAAAAATTGTGATGTTCGTCTTGAGTGGATCACTTGCACAGTATTAGTAGTAGTAGTTGAATTGGGCACCAAAAATAGCCGATGCGGCCCAACCGTATCACCGCATGCACGCCGATCACTAAGCAAAAAAAAATCATTTGTTAGTAAGTACCACGCTGTCAGTACCAGGTTTAAAATGGTGGTGGTATATTGGTATTCAAATGCTTCAAAACAAGCTGTTAGTGCTCAGAGTAGAGGCACTTAGATATCTCTTCTTATTATGTACAATTTTCTACTTCTATCTAATAATAACAAAAATTCCTTAACAAAAGGAAATAGTCCTTTTTATCTTGGAGGTTCTCAATTATCTCTCATTCTTAATGTAATTATTATATTACTCGTCGAAATTCTAGCAAATAACTGGATAATATAATGTAGAAATAATTAACAGTCTCTATGACCTCTACAGTTCATAATGTCCACATCATATGGTATTGTTTATTTATTGACTTAGGTGAAATTTTACTTTGGCGGTACTTTTTTCTTTGACAAAAAAAATATCTTGCTTCTCTTGGGTATCTGTTAACATTTAAAGTAATAAATGACTAAAAATGGGTGTGTTGACCGAATTTTGAATAATTTTATTTGAAAAAGTTGTTTCTTAATTTTACATTACATTTTACAATTACACAAGTGCAATAACAGCAGTTTTTCGTGATAGAAGCAAAAATAACTGATGGTGCCTGGTTTGTCAGTGAAATATTTGTCTAGTGGTCATAGACTAAATTAAATGTAAAAAATGCCTATACGCCTATGTGGTGGATTCAACTCTCCAAAAAATCCTTTATGGGTATTTCGCCACTGCACTGCAAGAAAATACTGCTTGTCAGAAGTTATGTTAACAATTATACAGATTTGCCTATCAAACAAAAAAATGCTTAACGTTTCGGAAAGTTTATCTCTTTCCGTCGTCGGAAGCAAAAAAAAATACAAAGAATAAAGAAAAAAACTATTTAAAATATTTAAATTCAACTATTCGAGAACACTTTACTTTTTTAAAACAGATACGTCTACAAGAAACCGTTGACGTTCTGTTAAAATGACATTATATCAAGTTAAACTTCAAAATTAACAATTACTACCTGCTAACAATTACTTAATAAGGTAAAACCAAAAAGCCCCAAACTTTCTGTATAATTATTTTTAAATTTTACGTATGTTATGTTCTTTAAAATCAATGAATAAAGAACAAGAAACAAAAAATGTAATATACCAAATACCATGTGAATGCGATAAATTTTACATTGGTGAAACATCTAGACCCTTAAACGTTAGAATTAATGAACATAAAGATTATTTAAGAAAATAAGATTTTCACAAATC